TCCGCGTGTTCCATCCGCGCCGGCGCCGGATCCCGCACGCCTGCCACCGCTCTGCCTCCACAGCGCGCGCAGATGGTGCCCCCGTCTGCCTCGCCGTCGGCCGCTGCTGTAATCCGTGGCCCCGTTGCTACGCATCAGGTCGCCCTCTCTATCTTCCTCCCCTAGACGGAGCAGCAGTCGGCTCCACATCCAGCCTCCTCGCCTTCTCCAACCAAGGTACTCTCCCCCTCTCTCTAATTTGGTTCGGCCTGTCTCTGATTGCTCCTACTGGGTGGACAGCGCATTCGAGGTGATAGCCATCCACTGCAGCACCTGGACGTCCCCAATGAGGTGTTTGGAGGAAAAAGAAATCGAGGGCGCCACTGTCACGGCCGTGACGTCCGATTGCAGCCTGGCCTAGTCACGGAGGGCGATATCCTCCACGTTATTAGCGACTATTCCGGTGAACAACTACAACACGATGTTTTCTATTCCTTTACATGGGTGCTACTTCAAACCACGTATCTACATGTGAAATCTGCAGGCTCCTAATGCGGGTGGGCAGACAGAGGAAACTTTTGGCAGCCTTCCTCACACGCCATCAATGTGTTTTCTGAAATTTAGGCCATGTCAATTTGCTATTTTGTGGGACATGGACTGGCCAACCTTTGTTTATGTTGTTGTATTATCTATCTTCTTGCAGAAATAAAATTTAACCAACATGTTTTTCCTGAAAAAAAATTTGGTCTGCTTGTGTGTTCTGAACTTTCATTTTGATGATGCTTCATATCTGCATGTTTGATTCAGTTTTCAATGCATTTCATGGGTTGTCAGTGTTGGTGACGATATTTTGAGTTCTGATGGCAATCCATGGCCCAGTGCCTCCATGCTACAAGCTTAATTAGAGCCCACAGACTAAGGATTTGTCAGCAGAAATTTAGACATCAACAGTCTCCACGGTACATGCTTAATCTAAAGCCCACATATTAAAGATTTGACAGCGCAAATTTCCATATTCACATACATTGCGGACATGACCTAGCATCTCTTTTCCCAATTAATTCCTACTTGCATAGCACATAGTTATCTCCAATATTTTAGCAAATAATGGTTTCATCTGATTTCCTAGGTTGTGTCGATTGATTTTTTGCTTATGTACAACTCATCCATATGGTATGCAAGCCATCTTGCTACCAGTTACCTGCTCGGTCCATTGCTTCATGGTCTCACTCTGCCTGTTTAAAATCTCTGCAAAATATATTTTTCTGCTGGCACCTGTTGTTCAGCAAATTTGCGCGTCAAACTCTTGCAATTTTGATTTTGTGCCTTCCAGCTTACCTCTATTGGATAGTTGGTATTCGATGAACAACAGTTCGGTAAGTAACATTTTCCTGTTGTATATGTTGTAATTGTTGATCATGCATTTTGTTGTAACATGGCTTTGGCGGGTGGCGAAGGCCCCCGACAGCAGGGTGTCGCCAAGGCGTCTTCGACCGTCTTAGGGCGGAGACCCGGCGCTGACTAAAGGAAATTTCCCGGCTATGCTCGAAGGGTGCTGAATCTCCTTTTCATCGCGGACTCCGCCAAGGCCAGGCACGCATCCCGCCGACCGCTCAGGCGGGCGTCTCCGGTATTACGGGCGGAGGCCGCCTTATCTCTAAACTAATCAAACAAACGATCTTGCCTAAGTGTGCGTAGGTACTCAAGCGCAGGCGCTCGCGGTCCGCGCAAGCGCGCCAGCATGGCCCCTGCGCGGCCGGGCGGAGACCTACGGATGATGTCTCCGCCCGGACCGGCGGAGACTCTCCAAGGCGACGGCGCGCCCCTGAAGGCGGAGGCCAGCGGCCGGGCGGAGACCTGCGGATGATGCCTCCGCCCGGACCGGCGAAGATTCTCCAAGGCAACGGCGCGCCCCTGAACGCGGAGGCCAGCGGCGAGAACCATGGCCCCCGTGCGGCCGGGCGGAGACCCGCGGGTAACGTCTCCGACTGTCCGGCGGAGACCCGCCGAGGCAGCGGCGCGCCCCGGGAGATGGAGGCCAGCGCCGGGGACCCAGGCCTTTGGGCCGAAGACCAAGCTACAGTGGGCCGGCTGCTCATGGAAGCCCATTACTTGAAAACGGTATGGCAGGATTGCCCCGCGAACAAGAGGCTAGCGGCAGAATATTCCAGGAATGTACTGTAGCAGTTGAGGGGCATTGTAATAAATTCTGTTATGTAGTAGTTGAGTCCTATAAATAGGGGACACTTGTAGCCATGGAGGTTGGTTGGTGAACGAATTAATGAAACCATAGTTTTCCGTATCATTCCCTTACTCACCACTCTCCCCCTTATCGTTCTTATCCCGAACCTCCGCCCGAGGCCGACCGTCCGACGGGCGGAGGCCTCGGTCTCCTCCACGCAGTTTGAAACAGCTAGTTTCAACACATTTCTTAAATCTTTAACATAGGTTGCCATTTTTTGTGGTTACGCTCTTGGTTTATCTGATCCAAATGATTATTCAGTAAAAGGAAGACTTTTCCTTTTTTCTGTTTTGATGCACCTGAGATAGCTACATATCTGGCCTGTAGTAGTCTAAGATAACTTATGTAGTTTTGCATTACCAAAGTACTCAGCAGAAAGATAGTTCTGTGTTGGACAATTGTACATCATTTTTCCAAGGAAGGGTGTGGCCTCAAATGGCATCTACAATATTGCTGCCAAGCCAAACGCTACTTGCATCAGGCATCGTCATGCCTTCCTATGGTACTACATTTACCTGCACTTTATATTCGTTTTCTGTTCTGAGCAAATATAATTTATCTCATAACACCTTATGATACATTTTAATTAGAATTAGTTACTATGAGTTCTGTCATGGATCTAGCTGTGGAACAGAACAGGTTATCAACCATGCATTTTTTTGGGCATGGAGCAAGGCTGCATGACCCTTTTTTTGTCCAACTAATATAAAAGAAATTTTAAAAACACATAGTGGTTTGTTTTTTCATTCACTAATCTAATAATTATGGTGCTTCCTGCTTTGTGCCTCATTAGGACGAAATCAGACATGGATATTGACTAGCTGTACACGCTCATTTTAGGAATTGATTAGATGCAGTTTAATGTAATAACATTAGTGACTGACCTGTGGAATCCAATCCTTGAGAAAAGGTACAGTTTGTGTGCTATGACCAGTTCAGAGTTATCATTGACTCATTCTTTCTCTTTTATGAAACCGTTCTTACAACGCTAACCTTTTTTTTCCTTGAACAGTGAATGAAATTTCTGCAGACTAACCTCATTAACAAGGTACTCAATTTTGCACATGAGAGGATACAAGTCATTGTCAGATGGGACCTGGAACTAATGGCTTACTAGGTCGCTTGATGAAGAATAGACACGGTCTTATATGATGTTTTTGCCAACACTCAGTCCAAGAGTAACCACATTTCCTGTAATCTTCATCTAAATTATACAATGAACTAATGTCTCTGTAGTTTATTTATGTTTAATTTAGTGTTCTGCATTGCAAATTTTATTTTCTACTGTTTTGTACGCCACCCTATTGTATCGCTGGGACTATATAAATATAGTCAATTATTCATAATGGTTGTGTAAAGCATAGATGAATTAGTCTTATCACATATGTAGTCAAGTGCTTAATCGGTCTTGCATGCACATTTGAACAGCCTGCTACCTTCCGCTTGCTGCCATTAGCGCGAAGCCAAAACGGGCGCGGCGAAGCGCGCCCACCGTCCTAGTGTGTATATAGTATGTCAAAAGTTACTCCGACAAACAAAACTTTTGACGTTTCAACTCTGATGATGAAGCGGCAAATTAAATTCGTCGTGGAAGTCTCTGTTGTGGGAGACTAACGACTAATCATCCTAGCAGCCTGCATTGTAAGTCGATAAACGCACACGTCGAATCCTGGAATTTTCTTCCTGGATCGTTGACAACTAGAGCCGGACTGCGGACTGCCTGGATCGTTGACACAACATATAGCAATCCGGCAACCTGCGCCTGCGCCGGCCGGTCTACGTTTATACACCTGGGCACGAGGAAAAAACGCACATCCCTGTGGACGTACGGCGCTGGTTGCACTCGCGCGTCAAACCGTGGCGTGGCATTGGCGGAGCACTCTCGTCTGATTGGCTTCCTTGACACAACAAGTCCACGTAAGTAGACACGTCCATGGAACAGTAGCCCAGCAAAGACATGGCCATGGGGTTGGGGTTTCGGATGAGCAAAGAGGCGGCGGGCAGCCACGCGCGCGGTGTCCTTCTTCCTCGGTGCGGCGCTGCCCACTGCCCTTCTCTTCTTCCTCGCGTCCGACCGGCTCGGCGAGGGCTTGTCTAGCATCTCGCACAGCTGGGGGAACGGGCCGGCGGGCGACGACGATGCAAATGAGGTAACGCGCACGTAAATGTGTTCATGAGCCATGCTGTCTGCTGCAGTCTTCTGCTTGTAGTGTGCTTGTAAGCTTGCTATAATTATGCAGGCATCGCCCAAAACTCTTCACCCAAATTGTATGCATGGTTGTACGTGTACCTGCCAATCTAACGGAGACTTTAACCTTTATTAAGCGTGACGATCATGCACAGGTCATGTTCAAGGGCCTAGCCGAGCTGCTACCGAGGGTTGCCATGGACGACAGGACGGTGATCATCACATCACGTCTGTGAACGAGGCATGGGCGCAGCCGTTTGCTCCCTGCTGGCCGACCTCTACCTCGACAGCTTCAAGAACGGCGAGGACACCACGCACCTCCTCGTTGTCGCCCTCGACGCCCGCGGGTTCCACCGCTGCAAGGCCGTGCACCCTCACCAGGGGCAAAGGTATGTAGATGCTAATGGGTGCAAATGCACCACCTAAAATTTGTGAAAACAATAGATTTTTCTAAAATTTCACCATGTTTGCACCCCCTAATCCTCTATAGTACAAATCTATGCACCCATAAGTTAAGTGCACCACTCTCTAATTTACTCTAGCTTCGCCACTGGCCCTCACTGCTACCTCCTCAGCGCCACCTCCGTGGACATGAACTCCGCCAAGGCGTTCATGAGCCGGGACTACCTGGAGCTCGTCTGGACCAAGCTCGTCTTCCAGCAGCGCGTACCGGAGCTCGGCTACAACTTCCTCTTCACGGCAAGATCATTCTTCACCAAGACTCGTAATTTCTTCGATAATTATCTTTAACCAACAATCTTATTTATGATTGATAAAGTACTACCACACTGACTGGTCTGCAGGACTGCGACATGGTATTGTTTCGCAACCCGTTCCGACACTTCCCCGTGTACGCCGACATGAGCTGCTCGTCCGACGACTTCAAGCCGTCTCGCGCGCCGCTGGACAACCCGCTCAACACCGGCCTCTACTACATGAAGTCGACGAACCGGACCATCGAGATGATGAAGTACTGGCGGGCGGCTAGGGAGAGGTTCCCGGGGCAGCACGACCAGGCGGTGTTCGTCAACATCAGGCACGAGCTTGTCGGCAAGCTGCATGTCAAGATCGAGCCGCTGGACACGGTGTACTACGGCGGGTTCTGCGAGTACCACGACGATCCGGAGAAGGTCTACACCATCCACGCCGACTGCTGCGTTGGGGTGGACTCACAAGGTGCACGATCTCAAGGACTTTGCCACGGACTGGAAGAACTACACGAGCCTGGCACCAGAGGCGAGGCAGAAGGGTGCTTTCAAGTGGACATACCCGACTAGGTGCCGGGATTCCATTGGCGTAAGCCTTGAAAAGCGCAATCTCATAACATGAGCCTTTATAAACGTGTGTCCACCTCTATCAATACTACTACCGCATACAATATTTCTACCACATACAAATTAATGGTTTTAGAATGAATTCAAATGAAAAAGGTTGTGGACTACAAAGTTAATGATGCTATTTGTACTTTAATTTCTTGTTTTCCCTCCATATTAATTAGTTCTTTCTATTATTCTTTTATCTCTTTTGTTTCTTTTATTATTGTCTACCAAACATCTTAGGATGCAAGGCTTCTACGAACCCGCAAATAAGCTTAATTTTGCGGGTCATGGGTGTAACCTATAAAATTAAGCCTATTTATGGATTCGTGGACCTTGCATCCCTACAAACATCTAGTTCGTCCCCACTGTACACCCTCTAATTGACTAGTTAATATGCTTGTTTTCTCTCCCTAAATTGCTCTCTAATGGCATCTACATTATTCAGAATTGTTATTTTTCTATTATCTTCCTTATCTTCTTATTCTTGTTATTATACCATGATTCTTTTTCTGACATAAGAATTTAATTGATTAGGTAAAGACTAGAGACTAAGGCTATATTCTCTTTCTTTTTCTCCATAATAATTGATGTTTTTAAAAATTTTAGTTTTCTTTTGTATGTAACATAAATGTTTATTTAGTTGTTATGTATACTCTTGCTGTGTATGTATTTAATGCCCCTATGTCTAAATCTTGGGTCCGCCCTGTCTCCAAGTACAACAATGTTGCACGCACGCACGGAGTGGTGAGAGGTGTGCAAAACCTCACTAAACACTGGGCCTAAACTTAAGAGGAAGCGCAATGTCGCCGCATAATTTCGGTCAATGCGCAGGACACACGACAAGCCTAGGAGATCTGCTTAACTCCAGTGCAGGTCTTATCGATTTTAAGATAGCGGACGTGGCAGTCAATTTGATCTGTAATTAACAAGCAAAAATAGTCAGTAGTTTAAGGTGGAACATGTCAGCTATTGATCCAGACAGTTTCATGATCAGCTAAAGAACTGATAGAGCAAGTTATCGGCTATGAAGCCGATACTTAGCACTTTTTTTGAATAAAACAGTTTAAATGAACACCATCGGCTAGAGAGCCTATGACAGCAGAATATATCCATATTTAAATAAATAAAACTGTCAACTTAAAACATCCAATGGATATATCATGAGAATAAACATGAAAGCACAAGTCATCGGCTATAGATCCGATGAGTCCTAGAGTGTAAACAATCCTCTATTTTTTATTATAAAGAAATCCAAAAACTAACAAAATCTAATCTAATGTCACCACCAATCAGGTCGAAGCGATGCAGGGTTGGCATCGGGGTGATAAATTAAAGATTGCTAGCCGACAGATCTATTTATAGCAAAATAGAATATTGAAAACACACTATTGGTATTGGATGACTAAGATTAAGACACGATCAGCCAATAAAACAGATTTGACGTCAGGTTATAAATTAAAGAAGCCAGTAGGCCAAATTCGCAGCCTGCGGAGGCCCAACGGAATCCTCGGGTCACGCACACGTTCCCCACTCTTTAGTCGTTCTCCCCTTCAACGGCGGCGGTGACTTGTGAGTTTGCGACCGCCGTCGGCTGCGGCGAGCAAGGAGCAGCAAATCAGGCATCTGCCCTCCGCTGAGCAACAGTAAAACTTCATGATGTCAACCGTATTTTGTTGTCTCTGTAACATTGCTCTACTTCAGTTCTCATTTCACTTGCACCACCGTGAACCTTCCGGCGGGTTTGGATGCCGACCTCAGACATGTTTTCCTCTCTAATCTTCCATCACTTTTTCTCCCGAACTACTCCCTCCGTCCCAAATTCTAAGACGCTTTGACTTTTTTTTTGTTCATCCACTTTGCTATGTATCTAGACATATTATATCTAGATTTATAGCAAAATGGATGTATCAAAAAAAGTCAAAGTGACTTATAATTTAGAACGGAGGAAGTAGTTTGGTGGGCGCAGTTCTTGATCTGCAGGCCGATGCTTGCCGGGATAATAAATTTTCTTTCTTGGAGGATGCACTAGGAATATCCCACTAATTCCAATCCGTTTAAAGTTCATATATATTCAAATCCGATCAGGATACAATTTTCCCTCTATATATATTTTCCATGTTATATCCCTTATTGTATGTCAAAACCGGGCGCTCATAGCTGATTATATATTCACCTGAATACATAGGGGTAGGGCACACTGAATTCGATTAGCACGTGGGGCTTACTAGCGTCCGGACGTCCGGTCAGAAGCGCGCGTCCGCACGCTCGCGCCGCGGCCACCGCTAAGCCCAGTGCGTCCTTGCCCGTGCGGCCCACATGGTGCACTCGCCCTGCATACTAGCGGACATGTGGCCGAACAGCCAGCGGGGATCTCACCTCCCAAGGCTATCAGCTGGGCCCACTAGTGGCTAAAAAAACAACATTCCAGCGCCCCTGCCTCTATGACAAGTCCCACGTCGGGTGGCTGTCTCCCACGCGCTTTCCTCTGGTTTCCCCCACAAATGGACACGCATTGGAGCATGCATGCCCACCCTGTTGCTCGCCCTACCATGCTCGCCCTGACGTCACTTGCCCATGCCCTACTGGTCATTTGCGCCCTGCTGCTCACGCGTGCCATGCTACATGCATGTGTGTACTCGCCCTGCTACGCCTCCCAGTGCTCGCCTACCCCATAGGGACCGCTAGCGCCTCATGAAACACTTGCAACATGGAGGACTTGCTGCAACATATGTCTATAGACGGTGCAAAGTGATGGTCGTTCTCCGCTGTCACACGAAACAAGCCGAGAGAAACCGCGTGAAGCAGATCCCGAGCTCTCTTCGGGCTTAAGGGGTGAGTGCCAGACCGGATGGTCGTGATCGAGGGCGTGTTAGTCAATTTGACCCTGCAATTGACAAGGAGAGAAAGTTGATCAGTAATTTAAGGTGGAACATGTCGGTATTGGTCCAGACAGTTTCAAATGTATGGCCAAGTGGCCAGCAATATATGGCTATCGACTAGAGAGTCGATATCCAGCATGTTCATGATCTAATGTAAACAAAATAGGCATATCGGCAACTATTATTTACTCATTTGCATGGATCTATCTTAGTCGATGATCATGAAAGCATGCGAAAGATGTAAGAATAGACGTGTAAGCATACAAGTGAGAGACATACTAGCTATTAACCAGGACAAGAACAAGTAAAAGCATGTAAATAGCCAGTACATCCTCAACAAAGCGGGCTATCGGCTAGAACAACCAATTCTAGTGATCGTGTCATACGCCATACGATCACTCATCCGTTGGATACAAATAAATCTACAAACGACTAGACTCAATCTATTGTACCGCCAACAGGTCGAGTCATCTAATGCAGCATCGATGGTAAGACCCTAGATCAGAGACCAACAATCGATAGATCTTCTTACATCGCAAAAGAATCATGAAAGCATGTCGTACGCGTTAGAGCTCAGGCCATCGGCTAAATAGTCGATGGAGACATAGCGGGTGATTGACGCCATGTTCTTCTTAACAGATAGATCTACTAAACACCAATGTCCGATCTAACATGCTATCAACAGATTGAGTCCTCTGATGCAGCATTGATAGAGGGGTCATACCAGATACTGACGATCAATGGATCTATCTCCTAATGGAACACGACTTCAAACACTCGCCATGTACGATCAGGACCGAGATAGATTGGTCATTGAAATAGGATCTAACGTCAGGAATTGAATTCAACCGTGATAGTAATCAGCAGACGATAGATCAAAATAGATAGGACCAACGAATCTCAATCTAGATCGTGCAATTGGTGATATTGTATTAAACAATGAACTATCTAACACAATATCGATAACTTTGATTAATACTAACATTTACAAGAGATCAGTCGTCTGTTGCAGTCTTATAAAAGTTGATACAAATCGATAACTAATCTATACCATGATTTGTAAGAGATCAGTCATCTGTTGCAGCCTTACAAATAACAATATAGATCGATAACTAACTTATACCATGCCTCGCAAGAGATCAGTGGTTTGTTGTAGCCTTACAAGTAACAATATAAGTCATGACGGATACTCACAAACAAGCCAGAGGTCAGGTCGTCTGATGTAGCCCTAATTGCCCGAAGAACTCGCCGAAACCTACTCTACTCCTATTCCTAAGGGGTGGACGGTGCCAAAAAAGTAAAGGTACTGGATTTGTTTGATCAATGTGAGATGTCCATTACAATGGCCGGGGTTCAATATTTATACCCAAGTCCTGACTACGAGTCCTGGTCGAACAAGACCGGTTATGACAACTTGGAAAATCGAACAAAACTTCCTAATCTAAGATAACTTGGACTCCAATCTTTCCTTTCTATGGAGCCTGACGCGTCTTCTTGCTCTGTGCCTTGCTGATCTTGCCGATAGGGCTTATTCCCTGATGTCGCCATTTCATTAGCTGGTCTGGCAATTTATTTAGTCGATTCGATTGGAGAGCTCGACATTTCTTGATAATTTCTTGACTTTAGGGACTTCCTATTTTGGACCAAATTTCTGGGTCAACACATGTCCTCCAAGTTTGGGATAAAAGTGATTTTATTCCAAAATTATCCTCTGCGCTATCTTGAGGCCGTTGATGTGTCTTCAATAAGGGCCAAGTACTTTACCCTAGGGCTCACTGGTTCTGTTTCTTTCCATGCTCTTGGTCGTTTGCATGCTTCACGGGTATGCCACTTCTTTGTTGGCATCCTACGTTCCAAAGTGCCACAGGTGCACTATTGCTTCATGGGCGTTTGGATTGAGTTCCTCTAGTCGACTATAAATGTTCACCTGATCTTGACGAGAACAACTCAACATTCCAACCATGTTCTTGCTTCCGCTCCTCCAAGTGCTCTCGGCTTTGTTAGATCCCCCTTGGACCAATGCTTCACTATGAAAACCCCAGGTGGCTAGAAGAATTCTTGTGTTTAGGAAGATTGTGT